ATAGTTTAATATACTTAGTAATACAAACAGTTTGATAATTTTATACAGGTATATATTACCTATATAATAAGTATTAGTAATGTTAATAAATCATTATAGGATAATTATTATGAATTTATTTAAAATCGATAGTATAAAATATTTATTGTGTGAAATTGTGTTACGGCCTACAATAATACATGATCCAATGGTACTTACTGAACATCAATTTCAAATGATGTTGTGGCGTTGCCAAAAGCATGTTGTTCTTTCATTCTTTGTATCACACGTGGTAACGGTTGTCCGTATTTTGTGCCATGTCGTGCACGCGTTCAATGTTCGTACGGGTCACTCAAGCAACGGCAACGCATCTTAGTTATTGAAATCGATATCACGATTTCCCGCGAGCTAAATCTCGTTCACTGCGTAAAAGTGTTTGTTAAATATTATAATATTAAAGTTGAGACGCATAAAACTTAAAGAGCCTAACGCATAATACATTGAATTTGATATTACGTGATTAATTGATTTTAATTAATACAATATAACATTATATATAATAATAAAATAAAATGAATGTCGAGAGGTATCAGTTAATTTTCTGAAGGTAATATTTTTAGAGGTTTTAATCTTATTACCGTTATGTTTTTTAATACTTTCTTGAAAATTAAAGAAAAAATGTTCATATATTTGGTTTAAGAGTGTTTAATAAATTAAAAATTTTACTTTTCAGTTTATATTTGTATTTTTATTTTAAAAAGCGCTTTTTAGTATTCATTGTTCAATAACTGACATATTTTTTATCTTATTTATTGGGTTCAGATTGAGCAATGATCTAGTACTTCAAAATGATATTTTAAAACTAAAATGGCTTAACTTTCAAAAAAACAAATTGTCCGATAGAGGGCAACACTTAATTTGTTTTATTATTGACATTTTAACAACTATTTTTGCTGCTGTAACATCTATCTTCAAAAAATACGCTTTAGTGGCTGTTTTGGTTATATATGCATTTTAGTTGGAAAAATAATTGATAAAAAACATCATTTTTACAGATTATTTTATCATGCATCACCAGTACATTGCATAAAATTAACAAGTAACAACTATGATGGAAAAAATATAAGGCTATCGAAGAATATTTGGATAATTTATACTAAAAAAAAAAACGGAAGTTTTTTGTGTATGTCTTTTTTCGAGATAACAGACAAACGCTTTTAAAATACTTTTGCACAGACTGAGGCACTTGAAAATAGTGTTTTCTAGATATTGTTCGTAAGGGTAAATTAAGTAATGACTTCAAAAAAATTAGTGAACTTGGGTAGTCGAAAAAGAATTATTATATATTCTATAATTATCTATTTTTTTTTCTAAAAACTAATACATTAATAAGAAAACGCGGTATGACAAAAAAACATTCATAATGATATTAAATTATTTTTATGATGAAATGGGTACCATTACTATAAATATTAATATATTTTATTAGACTATAAATTCATGTGAATGTAATGCAGTTATACAATTCCACAAAAAGTTTGACACAATTCTTAATTGCGGGTATATCTAATAAGATAAATTGTATTGTGTATATATAATTATTATTGTTTGGTAAAATTATTTTTGTCTGTTAATACATTAATAACGGTTATTAATAACTTAGTTTTAGATTAGATATATAGTTTTTCGATGGAAAAAAATAAAATAAATTACAACTTTTTATATATGTTTATATTATGAAAAAAATAAATATACAATATTGCTTCCGTGTTTCTATACGTTATTAAGTGTATGTTAAAGTAAGGCTGAGTTATTAAAGATTCTTCGCACTTGGCGAATTTTGGTCATTAGGTCATTAATGTAATTGATTGTAAGGCTTTTCTTGAATATCTCGTATTTAGGGTCTGGTAAAGGTAATGTGAAAGGAGTAAAGGAATAGGGAATAGGGGATAAGACTCTAACCCCTATTCTAACTAAAATGATAATTACTTTGGCTCTTGATTTTAAAATAGTGAGAAATTTTTGTTTTTATTGGAAGGTTTCGTTTTTTTAAATTTGTTTGTAACTTATAATTTATTCAAATTATTTTGCTACACTTCCTTTGTTTCATAGTTGATAATACTAAGGATCTCTGAGATCATGGTTTGATTAATTTTTACGGAGTATTAAAATGAAGTGGATTCATTTGCAATTAAATCTGATTTTTCGTTTCCAGGTATTTCAACGTGGAAGGAGACCTATATTTGGTATTATATTGTAGTTTTTGTGTGATGTTTTATAAATAGTGAACAACACCATTTTGTATTAAAATAATATCCATGGAAATAGAGGATAGCAAACTGGTATCGTCTAATATAAATTCTTAATTTTATTTTAATGGTGTCTTCAATTTATTCTACAGAAATTCTATCGTATGGAGATATTACGACAATAAAAATAAAAAATTTATAAGATAAGTTCCTAAAGCATTATTACGGTACCTCCACACCGCATGCTGCCTGCACGCGCATGTCCTAATTAGATTATATAAACGTTGAGCGGCCTCCAATTTGTTTAAATGTGGTCGTATCTAGCCATATCGCCCGCATATGATATATTATAATATGACGACGACGTATTCAGGGAAGTGTTGAATAAAAACAATATTTTAACACGACGCGTTAGTATTATGGTATTATATGATAAATATTTTCTTATCAATTTTTGCGTGATTTTATTTTTATTATATTGTCGATATCGACGTGGTTTGAAATAATCGAAACTATTTGGAAATTATTGTTGTTTACTTCAAAATATCGAGAAATATCAAGTTTTAGTGTTTAGTATAATGATACAAATAAGATATTAAGATAAATAAGATAAATAAGAATTTATTTGTGAGAAAACTTCATATCATAAGCATAACTAGGTATAATATAAAAGGCAAAAATGTTTATATATTAAAAAAAATATATAATTTTACTGTCTATTTTATTTTTTTTTATAAATTTCGAATTTGTGGATTAGTGTAAGTAGTTATTACCATGCAGTGATAGTTGATTTGTTTTTCTGACGTACAATACACGTGGGTAACCTTGTTTTTTCGTTTTTCCGCGACGTAAAGCTGAGACACGAAAACACAATGACCCAACTAGTATACATAATACTATAATAATAATATAAAGTATTACAGAGGATAACGTTGAGTGTGTTTTACGTCTGTAAAGCGAACATACCCATTTAAATGATCCGTCGAAAAACCAATTACTCATCTCTCGGGTCAGTGTAATAATACGATATACTCGATAAGCTTATGAGCACATATATCATTGAATGCGTTTTTTGTCGTCCAGTACCCATCCAGCCGAGGACATTGTGCGGGTCAAGTAGAGTGTGACACATATTAAAATACAATAGACGCCGTTGAAAAGACTCACTTTGAGAGCAAATAAGTCTTAAAACTAATAAACCTTATAAGTGAAGTGTGATGGTGGGGGGCAAAAAAAAAATTTAAATGAATTATTAACTTAATTTTGTTATTTTAATTTTACATATTCATTAGATAATATTTATTATTTTTCAAGCAATTGATTATTTTAATTTGTTTTTTGTTAATTTAGGCCATTTCAGCAGCAATGCATTGTTTGTGCTTGTATTAATTAGTAGAATGAGGGTCTCGGTGAAATGAAATGCAATGAAAATTGTTGTATTTTATACAGTATAGTTTTAACTACTTTAAAAAAAATCACTTAAAAAAAATTTATTTATTTCAAAATTTGACCAAAGGTGTCTACATTTTTCACAATTTTTTTTTAGTAAGTTCAGTATCCTTAAATTATAACCTTAGGAAATATTTGAGTCTTATTACTGATTTTTTTTATAATGTAATAGGGCACGTTCAACCTGTTCCGGGAAATTTCGAGTCTTGTAAGCGAATGAATTTTATTGGTGAATCGTATAAACGGCATCCGCTGTGTTTCTATTAAAATGAAGTATTGACGCAATATTATTAATACTACACTAGATACCTAACACATGTTCGATGCCGGCATTTGCGGAAATCGAATTAGTAAACTCAAGATGAATTACGAAATGTATATAATAAATACTTAAATCATAAGTCTTACAAAAAAACTTTTAATGTTATTAATAATATTATGGTATTGAGATAAATTGATTATAATTCCTGGTATTTTAGTATACTTATAATTAAAGTCGTTGTCCAGAAATCAGTCATTTATTGCAATGTGTGCTTATAGTTATACCGTATTGCTTAAAAATACGGTTTTACGGTGTTACAGTATAACGCGCGTATTAGTTTTTTGTTTAAAAATCGGTAAACATGATTTGAAGACTTTTGAATTTTGAAGGTATAATGCTTTAAGTAAACGAGTGATTTTTGGCTGGTTTCAATAAATTTCATATAGAAATGACTAGCGATGTCTTGGGTGACCTTCGACGTCACGATGACACCACATTACTCTTGTTTGAGTAAAAATAATAAACGATCGATAATCGACTTTTATATTATTATATAGTGAAGTAACCAAGAAGTTAGCACATTCATTATTGGTTCTTGTCGCACGATTTTAACAGATGGATTGCAAATCTGGTCCGGAAAATTAACACTGTGTCCACATACATCAATACTATCAACGGCTGACTAAATGGAATATTGCATCGGAGTGTGTTTAGAATTAGTTTCCGATGACTCAATTATGACCTGATGGTGAAACATATCGCAACGGAAGTGATCCTGAAACCGATGTCCAGTGGTCAAATCCGAGGACGTCAAAACGACGATACCGTAAAATGGGTGACCGCCGCGGTGTGCGTGCGCGCAGAGTTTCCTTCTCGAACAGTACCGCGGCCCTCACGCGCCCGTTGACGTCATCGCCACCATCGCCGACGACGCCTCTGCCACCGCAGCCGCAATCGTCGAACTACGCGCCGCGTAACCGTGACCTCGGTCCGATATTGGTGTGGTCCGGGGGAAGGGGGGGAACGGCTAGCGGCGCATCATCGGTCTTTATATGCACCGGCGAACTCGCGGGGCTGGCCAATTGTCGCGGAACTGTTGTACATACTGCAACCGTGGTATCGTTTTATAACTGTTGTGTTTGTTTTGCGCGCGTAACCGGTTTTTCCGTTCGAGTCCCGTACCCGAGATCGCAGAAGAGACCGATAAAAGTTAGTCCACCCGTTTGTTTTATCTTCATAAATAATATTGATTGTTTTGGATTTCGTCAGAATTTTCGCGTACTAACGATCGACCGTCATCCGAAATTAACAATTAACCATCCGAAACATTCACTCTTGTAAATTCACGTCAGATCGATTTCGCAGCGAATTTCCTTGAGCTGTCTACGTCGTCGCATCGTCGCCCCCGAACTGGTAAGTCAAATGAGAGACGTAATGCTATATCGTACTATACTTCATAATGTAGTTACTTGTTAGTATTGCATAATCGTTGTTTCAAAAAATAGTATTGTTTAAAAATATGTTTCTAGTAAATAAGTCGTTAAAAAATAACATTCATAAAAAAAAAAAAAAATTAACTTTTATAAATTTCATTATTATTGTTTTTCAAGATTCAGTTTTTTTTTTTACTTTTTTGAATAACAAAATACATTTTAAATTTAATATTTCTAAGCAGAATATTATTTAAGTTTTCAATTTTTAAAAATCAATTTTCTGATGAGTAATTATTAACATGTAATAATTTATGTGTTTATAGTTTTTATGAGCACAGTAATGAACCAATTATTGATGAATACCCATGCGCTACACCACTTTACACATCTAAACTTTAATACATAGTTATACACTTATATATAATATACCTACCTATATTATATTATTTATACCACTTCGCTTGTTTAAACTTTAAATACATATTTATATTTGTAACTAGATTTTAAGTATTGTAATATCATGATAAATGCTGACACATTAATTCCAAAAAAAAAAAAAAAAATATAAATATTTAATATATCTATATAATTATTATATAGATAAAAATGTATTATAATAATATAATTCATAAGCTACAAAAATAATATAATGTATTAAAAAACTATAGGTTTTTTATTTTATTTTTAAACTAGAAAATTATACAATCTATACAAACAAAGTACAATAAGCATAAAGTATGGTTTTTTTTTTTTTAATTATGTGTAATGGCTTGATGTCTTGGGGTAAAAAACGGTAAATTTGTTTTTTATGCAATAAAATACTCTGAAAGAATATTCTACGCTTGAATGAGAAATTAAAAACGTATGTGTTGTCATTTAAAATAATTAAACAATTAAAATGATAAAAAAATAGTTTATTTTAAAAATTAAATATATTGATGACTTATAATTTATAAATTACCTTTTGGTATAGTCCTGTTTCGCGGTAGGTTATCGATGTATGTCTACCATATTTGAGTGTTATATAAACTATAGGGAATGATCAAACATTACAATTTTAAATACGTAAAGATGATTTTGATTTTTTTTTTTTTAGTCTTCTGTGGAGCCGATAGATAACAATTAACCACACACAGTCTAATCGTTAAATATTGAAATTACAATACGTATGACTTGCTCCAATATTTATCTCATTTGCTTAAAAATTACAGCCACCACCTTTGCGCGTAATATTTTGAATAACGATGATAACCGTGTAATTCGTATTATTATATGTGTATACATATACTTCGGCTATAACTAGTCAAATAATATTATTTAACCGTCATCCACAAGTCTTGATTATCCTGTTATCTACCGCCACCAACCAAGCGAGTGTGCAACAGATGGTACGTGCCAAAGTTTGTTAGTTGTTGCCGTCTATAAGTCTGCAACGGTAGCTGCTGGAGGCGACGTGTACTCAAACGACTGAAAAGTTTTCGACATTTTTGAACAATCACGCTTCGTTCCATCGCTTAATAGGTAAAGAATAAATTTTTTTGATGCGAGTCGTCTTATGTTAGCGTAATATTTCATAATTCATACCCAGAGTATAACGTGAAAAATGGACTTTTGAAAAATAGATTTTTCGTTTTTGTCGTTAATTTATTTTTAGTCTGTAATCATTTTAAACGTGGATACGACGATATTACTTTTTTAAAGAGTTTTTTTTTTTTTAATCCGGGATGAACAACCGTGGTGCAAACAACTATGTTAAGGCTTACTGCGCAAAATATGCTTAGGGCTGGAAACTAATTTAAAATATCGATTCATAAAACGAACTGTTACAGTTTCAGTAATTGTTTCGCAATAATTAATTTTTATAAAAACATTTTTCCTATTTTTACGTTTATTGTTAAATAACTTGGAAAATAATTTGATCGTATTTTTAATTTCTATTTTCATTGCAATACTGTGTAGGTGTATATGTATATAGAGGATGGAAGCATTATAAGAAAATGTTGCGTACTGGTCGATGCAATTTAATGTACTATTTTGTGTCAAGTTTTAGCTAACATTTTTTTAAATAAATTAAATATCATATATTTTAAAATAATACATCATTTAACTAACGTAATTGATTTATAACACAGGATTACTTAAAATGAAACATCCGATTTCAAATGTTAATATATTTTTAGTTTTTCCATTTAAAGTTATGTATATGATGTATAAGATAAATTAATAATATTTTAAATTTATCTTCTCTTATGATGCGAAGAAAATCTAATCGGAATTCATGTTAATTCTATGCATATTTGTAGTAATTGACTTGTCTAATTTTTTAACTTTTCTGTGGTTGATGATGATCATGATATTTACACTTTATCCTTAATATATCCCCTCAAGAGAAGTAACCACATATAATGTAGGATCAGATGACCTAGGAAGTCAGGTGCAAAGCTTAGAAAGTTGGAAAGAGCTATTTTTAAAAAAAAAGTTATTTAACCATGATGTCTATAGAGCCACACAGGTTTGAACAACCTTTTTTTTTCATAGTTATTATTATAGGTCTATTATCGTTATAATAATGTAGATATAATATAATTTATATTTTACGGGTATTGATGAATTTTCCAAAGAGCCACAAATTGTAAGGAGCCGCAGGTTCTCGACTCATATCTAGTCTGATGCGCATGCTAAAATGTAATCGAATATTTTACTTTAATTTCTTGCTAATTTATTATACATGTATACTCATAAAAACATAATAAATACGTATTAAGATTTTGTTTTTGTTTTTTGAGTGATGAGTAGATGGTTGTGGCTAGTAAATGGTTTATTTACTGTGCGTTTGTACAACGTGTATATTATTATAATATATTCATAGCCACCAAACTACATAAATTACTCTTCTACCACTTAATACGCCATTGATTGCGGTATCGTAAAAAACGTGACCACGGCAGAAAAACAAATCGACATTATATATTAGCACGACCATAGTAGGTATACGGTGTGTTTAGGGGCTAACCGTGGAGTTTACGCGTAAGAAAATGGAATGAAAACGTATCGAACTGCTTCAGACTGACGACAGTGCGTTAGATGATAGTTATATTATGATCATCGTCAAGTAGGTAAGTTTAAATAGATACCTGCAGTATGTTCTGCCCATACTATGACGATCGATCTAGTACATATTTATTATTTATGGAGTCTCATACCTGGAAGAGGAAAATATAATATGAAAAATTAATTCTGGCATTTCATTAAAATCTTATCCATGGTATGAAAAAATATACTAATTAAGTTCGCTAATTGGAAGATTAAAATGTATCTACTAATTGAGTTCTTAGAAAAAGTGTTATTTTGTATGCGTTAGAATATTATGTATTTGTATGTTTGGTCGAAATAGAAATACCAAAACTATTGAATAATGAATTATAGTATATTAACTTAACGTTAGCTTAATAGAAAGAAATAATTTAATATTAAAAGAAAATTAAATTAGTGAAAAATTTAACTATTTCAAAAAAAATAAACATTTATACTTGAATAATAATAATATAAAAAAAAATAATAGCTTTTTGAGTTTGTATTGATGTAATGTATTAAATCAATTTATTTATTATTTTAAATGTCTTAAAAATACAATAAATTATACATGTTAATAAAAAGTATTACACATTTTAAAATTAGCATATAAAAAATGTTAAACATGTCATACCTATAGAATTTTTCTTCTATATAGCCTTAAATGAATTTAAAAATGGGAAAAAAATTTATTTTTTTAAGTTTGATGGTACTTAAAAATATGGATTCAATTAGTATTATATTTTAAATTTTACTGGACTAAATTAATATGTACCTAAAAAAATTCGAGACTCAATTTAAAAAAAAATGTTTCATTGGAATTTAGTTCATTAATGGAGTCGATCGGTCGATTGGGGCATTTTTCCTTCTCTGGAAATTGATGGTTTGCGGAAGTAGCCGTTGTTCATCCTCTACGCAATGTCGTCATCCGGGGTCCAAAAGAAACTGCAGTGCGGAAGGTGTTTCGAAGTAATTAAAAAAAAAAAAAAACCCACTATCGTTCGATTGATAATTAGGCGGGGAACAAAATAATATGAAAAAACATCATAGTTCTACATCATAATAGTTTAATGAATTTGATTAATGTAATATTGTTGCTAACCACGACAGTCGTCGTGCACCGCGTCGTTCAAGGACGCGTGTGTAACCGTACAAAACGTGACCGGGTAGGATTCCCAACTATTACGTTATATAGGTATATCAATTGGTCGTGATTTCGTACCGCAATATATACGCGCGCGACGATGTTCAAAAAAAAAAAAAACATCTAAATATATGTTATAAAAATGTTGTTATACTACGATTAACGTGTATATGTGTAGCTTCAAAATCTCTAAATTACGATATTCCCGTTTTTCCCGTAGGTACAAACATGATTTATGGTTTTATTTTTACTTCCGCATTTAACCATCAATAATATTTTATGGTTATTGTTTTTAATTCACAGCGGGTTGGCGCTAATTCAACATAGATAATAACTATTATCCAGTGTATTATCAGACATTCTGTTTGTATTTAACTAACGAAGTTTTCCATACTTCTAAAACGACATTCTGTGATGAAAGGTGAAATATTATAATCTAAAATATTTATCAAGCTGTAACTGCAGGATTTTCGAATATTTTACGATTTTATTTCTTCGGTGATACGTAGTATTATGTTAATGCTATTGAACGATTCGATTAATTGTGCGTTTAACATATTGTTCTATGCATTTATTTATTTATTTGTGCATTAGATGACACATCATGAAAATTAATATTTTACTGGTTGTGCTTTCGATTGTGCATAATATTACATGCCATGATGATTGCGCAATATTATATCCGAATTATCGAGAATACTGAAAGGTTATAAAACGTATAGGTACGAAGGAATTTTGTGTGTGAAAGTTACCGGTTTTTAAGA